GATAACTTCTTGACTTGGGTCCGTGCAACGTGAATGTCAGCTGTGTGTGTCACAGAGCTTCTGTGAAGATCACATTAGCCAATACATGTGCAACTCTAAGAAGAGCATCCAGCAGAGAACACATGCCCATAAGTGGCATTCCTGCCACTGTGCTCTCACTGGATGCCGGGGTCCGTACAGGTCCGCCCAGGTTCAAGGAGCCTTTAGGAAAGCGGCCCTCTGACCTTAGACAGTGAGATTCTACTACAGAAATTGCCACCCCAACTCAGCGCACAGGGTGCCAGACCCTAGGTCCACACACAATAGGAACAAAGCTCAGTTATGCCTCCCCAGTAACTGCCTATATCTGGAGAGAAGTGGCTGCAAGCACACAGGAACCAGCAGTTTGGCAGGAAGCCTGCATTCTGCAAACCCCAAGGGCAGGAAGTCCACACACACCAAAGGGTCCCCACCACACCCTGTGAGAAGGAAGGGCCAGCCAGAGTGGATGGGATGGGTTGTTTCCTCTTCAAAATAAGGCTTTGAAGAGACGCTCCAGGGCAGTCAGAAGCAGGGTGACTAAGGGCACACACATGTTTCTCACAGCCACCCAATTCCTGACCTTAATGTCACTTAATAAGGCAGGCCTGGAGTCCTATCTGCAAGCAGAATTGCAAATCACTTGGCTGGGACTCCACATAGGAGGTGGCTTTGTAATCTGAGCAGTGTGTCCACTAACAACTAGAGCAAGACCATTAAGTTCATTACACCTGTCACTCTGCCAGCTGAGTCGCCAAACTGCCATGATAAAAGTACATTATGCCCAAGGAGTGCCACCCAACCCCCTCCCGGACAGCGTACACCCATCGACAGCAGGCAATTTGTTCTTGGTGTCTGTACCTGCATAAAGAACACAACTGTAAACAGCTTGGAAACACGGCTGTGGAAGACCTCAGGCTCTGAGCAGCTATGCATGCTTCACTTTAGACCAAGATGGAGACAGAGACGGACAGCCTAGTAAAAAACATAGTAAGGAGGGACGGAGATTTGTTAAGCAGATTCTGCTGAACAACCCAGAAGGGGTGAGAGGCACACCCTTTCCACCTCTTGACCAAGTTCCAGCACTCCGGGCAGCAGGCAAGGCCTTCTGGGCAGCGGCACCTTCCACCAGGCCTCGGGCGCAGCACATAGCCAGCTGGGCTGCACAGTGGGTTTGCAGGGCAAGCGTGGTGCAGACAGCAGTAATTTATTTATCCCTGTCATGTAACATTAACAATCTGTCTGGAGCTTGGCAAGCACCAACTTGCACTGTCATATAAACTGTCTGACAAACTTAAAAGTTTCATAAATGCTTCTCTTTCCCCAACAGACAACAAAGCATCATTTAAAAAAAAATAGTTGTTATCTTTTCTGTCCCATCACTCTCTTCCTTTATCCAAAACTAAGGGAGAACAAGAAAGAAAATCAGCCACCAAAGAACCCACCCAGTCAGAAGTGACCTGTCAGTGATCTCCACCACCTCACCGGTTTCCCAATACCAAGTAAACAAATGAATGGGGTCGGGGGGAGGGGGGGCGGCAATATGGGGTCAGCTGTGAGGGTGCCGGGGTTACTGAAGAAAAATCTGCAAAACAAAAATATCGTCATTAAAAATTAATAAAGGGTGTGGACATCCAGCCCCCACCTCGCTCCACTCATGGGAATTTGAGCCAGACATTCTGTGTCCTCGTTAAGTGGAAGCTGGCAGGCTGTCAGGGTTTTAGTGGGTTCTGGGAATGCCAATATATTAACCAGAAGACTTTTTGCATACCCTTCGGAGTTTTTATTCTAGAAAAGTCAACCATTTGGCACAGTAGAGCCTTATTTTTGTCCAGGAAAGCTCTCAGCTGCCAATCAAGGGAGAAATTACAGCTACGTTCTTCATAATTTCCAAGACCTAACTGGAAAACAAGCTTGGTGGAGAGAAATAGCTTAAAAAGGCCAAAGCACCATTTTTAGGAGGAATTCAAAGAAAAAGCAATTCATATTTAAATCAAATGGATATGTATCAAAACAGACATTATTCTCAAGTCTTCCTGCAACATAGGAAAACCAATATTAATTGGAAATTTGAACCCAACAGGATCCATAGCCATGAACAGTACAGGTACTTGCTTATTTCCTTTTGTTGCCAAACATGAACACAAGCAACGGCATACGTGTTCACATGAGCCACATGCACACACGCATGTGTGCATACACACACACATACACACACACACATCTCCCCCAAAAGTGGCAGGTCTTGGGGTTATAAAATTCAAATAATATGCAGAATTCCTGTTCCTATTTTGTGGGGTAAGGGCATGCATGTGTATGTGTTTATGTGTGTACACATGCATGAGCGAGCCAGAGGTCAACATCAGGTCTTTTTCAATCTCTCTCCACTGTGCTTTTTGAGTCAGGGTCCTTTCACTGAACCTGGAGCTCGCCAAATCATCTAGACTGGCTGGTTAGCAAGCTCCAAGTATCCGCTCATCTCTGAAGTTCAGCACTGGCATCTACATAGGCACCAGGGATCTTAACTCCGGTCCTGGTGCTTACGTGCCAAACATCTGACCGACTGAGCCATCTCCCCAGGCCCAGTTTTCTTATTTTAAAACTCACAATTCACTTCCCGTGTACACTCATAATATAGGTGAATATGGAATTCCCATTTCACGCAGCCCATGCTGGCAGAAAGTAACTTTGACACCAGAGAAATAATGGCTTCTGAGAGGTTTTTCTACCAAAAAGGACTAAGGACACAGAGAACAAGTGAGCCAAGGACAGATGGGGGGACAGAGAGGAGGGAAGGGAAACATAGGAACACCGCTGTTGGCCACTACTAACAGCTACTACCCATGTCCATGCGAATCATGTTGAGTAACGCCAACATTTTCCAGGTTAAAATGCTACACTCCTGTTACTTCCCTGCTGTTGCTTTCAACTCTGACCCAGAAGGAGACATGTATGCTGGAGACGCCACATGCCCAGATACAGAAGAAAGAAAAGAGGAGACATGACCAGGGGTTCTATAAAGATTTAACCAGTCTACACGCTTTCAGGTATTCCTGCTCAGAATCCTACCGGTTTGGGCTTTATATGATGACATAGGACAATCCTACATACCACTATAAAGTGACTGACAATGTGGGGTACATGCACAGGGATCCAGAGTTTGGGGGTCTTTACTTAGCAGCCAGCCAGAAACTACCCAGAGGGAGCAAAAGTCATCCTTCCCTCTCTTTGCTTCCCTGCCAGGTGAGGAATCCACCCCTCCAGCAACCCGGATAAAAAAACAGACAGTGACCCATGAGCTACAGGGCTGCTCTGCCAGGCTGCTTAGTCAAGCAAGACTCTACAGCACAGACCCAAGCTGTAAACACCTCTGCAGACGGGTCCTTGCTCTCAACACGCCAGGCAAGAAAACTATTCTTAGAACAGTTAGCAGTTGGGGGAAAACAAATATTTGCCTATGGATGTCTATATTCTAACGGTGAACGGCGGGGAAAGGACTGTGGAGCCTCACATCATATGCCAACAGATGGCCACAGAATCGCTCAAGACGCACCTGGCACTGGCTGGGCGCCACGGCGGGATTGTGGCCATGAAAAGCAAGCACCCAAAGGGCTCAAAGATAGATAGCCAGCCGTAACTACCTGCTGGTTAGAGTCTGCTCCAACACAAACACGAACTTACAGGAACTGGACCAGAGACATGGGCAGTGAACTCTTCCAGGGGTAAGAGCGGAACGCTAAGACACTAGAAGGCTTTGTTGTTGTGGGAGTTGTTGTTGTTGTTGTTTAGACAAGGGGAATGGTAGCTACAATTCCATTACAGTAGTCCCGGCTCCAATTCTTAACTGTGTTCTACATTCATAGTAAAGTTGTGTCTTAAAGAATTAAACTTCCACAGGGATGGCAGAAAACAAATATTAAATGTCAATAAATACATGTGGATAATATTCAGACCCATTCATTGTCCATGTCATGATTCACATTTGACGTTGTTCCTTCACAGAACATATATTCTATATTCCAAAAGGAATGTGCACACGATGCCATTGAGCCGAATTTACACTCGAAGACCGTAGCTTCTCTCATACAAAATGCGGGCCTGGCTTGGCATGTGTATGCTTCATAGACCCTCCCTTGAAAACCAACACACAATCCTGAAGGCCCAGGTTAACTAGAAATAGGAGGATAAAGTATGGCGACACCCGAACTAATAGAAAGAGCCATGGTAAGTTGAGTTTGGCAGTGCTAACCCAGCATAGGCCCCTGCTTTTTGTACCTGGTGCTGGGACAGAAAGCCAGGACCTCAGCATCCTAGGAAAGCCGGCTGCAGGGGAACATTACCTCCCCACTCCCACACTCTACTCTGAAGGTCCAGCAGGACTCACCATCTCTATCCCCGTCCACCTCTAACACAGTTCTTGAACGTCACACCCCAGTGTGAACACACAGAAGGTCACAAATAAATATCACAGTCATAATTAATTCTAACTTTTAGTGAGGAGTTTCAGGGATGGCAAGGTGGCAAAATAATTAGAAAAGAAGGAGGAAAAAAAAAACAAAGAAAACAGACACAGAGGAAAAGAAAAGCCAATCAAAATAATCCGTTCTAGCTCATTTAAGAGTCTTTGTGGAAAAACAGAACACTCTGCTGACTGATGTGACCACTGACACTCAGCAATCACTCCTGTGCTGGGGCAGAAACTAGGAAGCCCCACTTGTTTTAACGAGTTTCTTGCTGCCCTGACTGGCCAATGCAATGACTCTCCAGGTAACCCGGAACAGACACGCCTGGTGTGGGCTCTTGGAATGACGCCCACCCACCATGCACCCCTGTAGTCCTGAAACCTCTGCACACCGAGAACCTTCCAATTAAAAAAAAAAAAAAGACAGACAAAAGTTTAAAAACAAGCAAGTAAATGCTCTCTGTGGCACCACAGCGACTTAACTCACAGAGAGCCTACTGTCTCCCAGCAGCGTACTCACAGGGCGCGCCCCCAGCCGTGCCCAGACGGCACGCCGGGCAGGGGTCCCGGGAAGCCTCCTCCAGCCTGTGGAGCGCAGAGCCCACAACAAAGGCAAGTGCAGAGCCCGGCTGGGTGCTCTTCGCTTCCTGTTTATTCCACCGTGAGGGTCAAAGAGAAATTCAACACACGCCTGCTTCCTCCCGGCCCGGAGACCCAGCCTAAGTGTAACAGCAGCCGCCCCAGACAATCGACTTTGCCAACCAATGCCAGGAGCCCCGGGCAGCCCGCGGCCGACGTCAAAGAGCGCGGGGGGGTGGGGGGGGCCGGGGAGACAGTCTGAAGGCTGGGAAGCCTGGAGCCCTAGAGCCGGGGCGCAAGGTGCAGGGGGAGGCTCCCGCGCCGCCTTCTCGCTGCTGACCTCCAGCCCCCCACGACTGCAGCAGTTCGCACACAGGCCTAGGAGCGTCGCCGCCTGGGGCACGCACCCCCGCGCCCACCCGGACCGCTGGGCACTGCTGGATGAAGCAGCTTCAGCGGGACACTCTACAACACCGGGTCCCGATCGGCAAGACTCTGCCAGCCGAGCGCTCCGAGGATGGCCAAGCGTCCCCGGCCGCCCTCAGCGCCCACCCGCGGCACTGCCTGGCAGACCTGGTGCGCGGGTCTCGGGGACGCCAGGGCTGGCAGGGCAGCGGTCGCCGGCGCTGGCTGGCGGGCATCCCGGTCCTTTGCCCGCCCCCTCCTCCCGGCTCTGCTCAGAGGTGAACTCCCGCCAGACGCAGAGACCGCGGCGGGCGGCACTCACCTGCAGCAGCCCCTAGGTGGGCGAGCGGGACCGCCCACCGTGCAGTTCGGCCACCGGCCCTGCGGGCTGCGGGGGAGGGGCAGCGCTCCGGGTGGCGCTACACGGCGCGGCGTGGCTCTTTAAGAGGGACCTGCCACCGGGCTCCCGGAGCTCCCCGCCCCCCTTTCGCCTTCTCAGGACTTGCAGCCGGTCTGGCGGCCGCCGCGGCTCCTCCCCGGCTCGCTGGGGATCCCCGCCGGCTGACGGGAGGGAGGGAGAGCGCCGGTGCTGTCGGGCTGGGGGCCGGGTCCCGCCACCGCCACCGCCACCGCGCCGAGGCCGGGTCTGTCTCAACTCAGCCTCGGCCGCTCCTCCCCCGACTCTGCGGCGGGGACCCGGCGCGCGGCCAGACGGCGGGGGCGGGGGGCGCCGCCAGGGATGCGGCCCCGCCCAGGTGCACACCCGGTGCCCCCCAGGCTGCAGGACCCGAGCTCTGGGGGCGATTAACGCACACCCGGGATCCTGAGCCCGGTAAAGAGCCTGGAACTGGGGTGAGAGGGGAGCGCTCGCTGAGTGTAGGCCACGGGCGGTTTGGGAAGGGGGGCACCTACTGCCTCTTGGGTTGTAGATGCCCACCCACAGCGGAACTTGATCCAAGGCTCTCTTGGGCACACAGTAGGACTACAGGACAGTTAGTGGGAATGGTGAAGCGTCTGGGAGCCCCCTCCTCCAGGCTGGAGCGAATCCTCCGGACTCCCTGGTATCATGCCCTCTTCTAGGGAAAAGCATCTGTACTGGGCAGCTGGGTGGATCCTTCCTCTAGGAGCTATGACCCTTTTGCCCTTGAAGAAATACCTCCAAGTCCTACGAAAACTGGGACAGGACCTCCACTGGAGTGCAGACAATAGATCATCGGTTCTCCAGAAGTACCAGCACAGACACTGGTCTACCCAGCCATGTTTGATGGAGATTGATTGCTGCCACCGCCGATTTTATTGCAGTCAACACAATTAGAGTCGAGTTCCTCTCAGCCAAAATTCTCCTCCCTACAGACACATGAACCCAGGTTTCAGGTTGGTCTAACAGAGACGGAAATTTAAAGGAGTAACCGTTTCCAACTCTTCCCCCACTCCTACCTCAGACTTCAAGGATGCCGGAGAAATGACTGTTTTGAAATCTGCAGTTAATGTATCAGTGACTTTTCCATTCGTGGAATATTCGTTCAGTTTTTCTTATGTCTTCAGTTCTGCTCAGCCATCATAGCTATCCAACAGAGTTTGTATGTGATCTAGTAATGGCTACCACAATAGAGAATTGTGTATGAAGCGTTTCTCACAGGTTGCTTTTATTTAATCCCCACAGTGACAGCGAACAAGCTCTTCTCCACTTTACAAATGACGAAGTTGAGGCTGTGAAACATTTGATGATGTTCCCCCAACCACAAAGATAAAGGTTTAGCGTTGCTAACCGGCAGCATCCAACACTGGGTGTTGAATTCCCGTACCATACCGCCACCTACCTACAGCAACTGTCACATCCAGTTCTGTTCCGCTCAGCCCACGTACAGCTGAGACAGACAGACGGCTTACAATGTCCAGCACTGTGCTGGCTCCCAGGTAGGGATGCTCGGGTCCCAGATAATACAGGCACACTATAGGGGAGAAGGGGCTTGGAACCCAGTTATTTGGCCAAACTTTTTTGTTTTCCGTTTCAGCTGTTGCTGCTCACATCCTTACACGTGTGTAGAGCATGTTACAGTCATGGGAAAACTGGAAGTATTGAAATGGTTAGCTGTAGGTAAAATTCATTATGGTTGGGTTAGTTTCAGTTAGCTTCATCCCAGTCACGCACGGCCCACTCCCCAGAGCTCAGGCGGGAACTTAGGAAAGCAGGGAGCCTTGTTCTGCTCTCTGAGGAGAACGGATATTCCTAGTCACAGAACAAAATACTAAGGACTCAAAAGATTTGGGACAATGGACAGAGCCTAGCAACGGAAAGACAAGTAAACAATATTGAAAGATGATATCAATAAAATATTGAAAGATGAATAGAAATAAAATGAAATGGTTTTTTCCAGGAAAAGGAAGTGAGGGAGGGGGGACATCTTTCTCGTTGTCAATCCATTGCAGTTCATCTTGTGTTGATTAGCCCTGCCCATATCTAGTCCATACAAGGTTACTATCCCATCATCTAAAGAGATAAAAATAGGGATGGAGAGATGGCTCAGTGGTTAAGAGCATTGCCTGCTCTTCCAAAGGACCTGAGTTCAATTCCCAGCAACCACATGGTGGCTCACAACCATCTGTAATGAGATCTAGTGCCCTCTTCTGGCCTGCAGTATATACATGCAGGGAAAACTGCATATAATGAATAAATCTTTTTTTAAAAAGAGATAAAAATAGAAAACGATGAGCAATTGATAAAAAAAAAAAAAGATCTGAGGGCCCCAAGTGACCAGAAGATGGATGAGTGAGAGAATATGACTCTGTTATTCAGTTCTCATGCATAACATTTAAATGAAACTTAAGCTGTCCAAAATAACCCAGCCTACTTGTTGTGCCTTTTAAACCGGAGAAAAGGTGATAGACAGAGCTGCATTGTGGGTAACTTCAGTCCTGGAAAAATGAGTCTAGACACTCAGAACCAGAACCTGTGGATGAACAGGTCCAGGAGAGCACAGCCTGCCCCTTGTGTCTCAATATCAGGGTTTCACCTTGCAGCCCAGGATGGCCTGGCCTCAGAGAGCAAACTATAAACTGGAGATGGTCCTTCTTGGGATGCTATATGTTGGCCATCTGCACACACATACCATTCTGGCATGTGTCTGCCTCTGTGCTTCAGGCTACACCCACCTACAAGATCTTCTGTCTTCAGAATTAGTTGGGATAAAACCTACACAGTTTTTGTTATTGTTGTTGTTTTTGTTTTGTTTTGTTTGGAGACACACAGAAGGAAAGAGAAGGGGAAAAAATAAATCGTTGCCTCAAAGATGATCCATCTAAGCCTGTTGTTGGGTTGGTTTTGAGTATGTGTGTGAGTGTGTGTGTGTGTGTGTATGGTGCATGTGTGTGTATGTGTGTGTGTGTGTGTGTGTGTGTGTGTGTGTGTTGTTTTACTTTTGGGTCTTGGAGGGCCCACCACCCAGCTCCCAAATAAATACACACACGGAGTTTTATTCTTTCTTATGAATGCCCAGCGTTTGCTTGGCTTGTTTCTAGCCAGAAGCATAAAAGAATGCAACACATCTTTGCATCATTAAACAAATGTTCCAAAGCATAAATTAATACAGCACATTTTAAAATAATATTCCACAACATAAGCCCACTTGTGTATGGCATCTAGGCAACATTAGCAAAGGAATGAAAATGTTCCTAAGTGATTTGCCACTTACAAATGAACATTCCAAGCCGGGCGGTGGTGGCGCACACCTTTAATCCCAGCACTCGGGAGGCAAAGACAGGCGAATCTCTGTGAGTTTGAGGCCAGCCTGGTCTACAAGAGCTAGTTCCAGGACAGGAACCAAAAAGCTACGGAGAAACCCTGTCTCGAAAATAAAAAAAAAAAAAAAATGAACATTCCAGTACTGAGAATTTGTTAAGTCCTCCTCAGAGCTCCGTATCTTCTCCGTCCGTCAGGACCACAGCTGCCTCCTTTGGTGCTGGCCTAGCCATGTGGGACCTGTGTTCTTGGAACTCCTTTCTAGTGAGCTCGAAGGTCAGTTAGGGAGACCAGGAGAGAAAGTTGTGTGATATTTGGAAGGAACAGGTACAGTGTGGTTCTTTGTGAAGCCCCTTCTCTCCCCCTTGACTTGACATCCCGGGGTCTCTACAAGGTACTCATCCTCAGTGTCACCAAGTCCTAATTGGGTATAGGGAGTGCTTGTTATAAAGGTTCTCAGCCTTTCGTTTGGATCTTCGGCATCACTGGAGTTGAACAGACAAAAGGCAGCCCAGGTTTGTCTGTCCTTTTGGCTCCACATTGCACCCCCGCCCCAACCAACTTCACAGTTTCTCATCCCAGCCACCAGCTCGTACCTCCCTCAGCAAACCCAGTCCCCATCCTGCACAAAGGTCCAGCTTTTCTGGTCAAACCAGGACGGAATAATGCCGCTGTGCGCTTCGCTCCTGTCTTGGCTGAAGACTGGGTAGAGTCTGCCTCTCTGGGCATAGTTCTCCCGATAAGAGGATGGCCCATCGAAAATGGTGAGCTACTTGAACAGTTGCTTAACAACGAAGAATTCTAAATGGACAATAAGTACGGGGAAACACGCCCAACTTTCATGGAGCTCATGAAAAAAATTCCCACTGAAATAGATAAAATTTCAAAAACTGACCTCTCTAAATGTTAAGTTGGTTGGGGTCCATCAGAATTCCTCTTCCAGGGCAGGACAAGAGACGTGAATTCAGAGAACCAAGAAAAGACAAGAACAAGAAACTTTCTACCAGTCTA